CTGGCAGCTAGTCTTTGCGATGGAAACAATTATTGTTCTGTGAGCCCCAGACTGACAGCTCCCTGTCCTGCCTGTCAGCCAACTTGGATGTTTTTTCACCTGGCTTGCTAGGAATGCTTTGTTTTTTTGGCAGCCTGAGGTGAGTCCCCCTCTTCCAATCTCGACTCGGAAGGGCCTCAGCTCTCCAAGAGTGGAGTGTCTCGAAACCACACACGGGGTGGTTATGAGTTTCTCAGCAGGCAGCCAGGGCAAAGCGGCATGTTTTGCACAGCGCTTAGTCATAGGTTCCTCAAGTCAAGGTCACGATCAAAGAAAGAGACACACAGCCCCTCTCTCCTCCCCCACCTCGGAAATCTTGTTTGTAAGGTTGCTCCATCAAAAGACACACCTTTTCTTCAACGGGGCTACATCTGTGGGTACCGGAACACAAAAGCACGTGTGCCAAAATCCTGTCCCTTGAAAACTGAACTCATACTTATTGGGTGTGGTCACATCTCCCCAACATTTGCCATGACAAAGTAGCTCTAACTTGTATATCTCCTAGTTTGGAGATTAGGAGTACAAAGTCAAGGTGTAGACAGGATCCTCATCCTCTCAAAGCCTCCGGGAAAGGATTCTCCATGCTTCTTTCAGTTTCTGGCAGCCCCAGACACCCCTTGGCTTGTAGATCATAATTCGCAAAAGCCTCACAAGTGGCCTCCCGTGTGTCTTTGTCCAAGTGTCTTTCTTATTCTAAAGACACCGGTCATATGGGGTGGCGTTACATAAGGACATCAGTCATTGGCTCAGGGACTCATCCTCTCTGTCTACACTGTCTTGAATAAGTAGATATGTATTGTCTGCATTCCCAAATAAGGTAGCATGTGAGGAATCTGTAGTGAAGTCTGCATCCTATCTTTCACAATAATACAGTTCAGCCCATCACACGCACCTGTTATGAAGTTGTATTAAAACAAAATCACTGCTGAAATTAACCATCTCCAAGGCCCTCTTTTTCTAGATTAAACCACAAGGGGTGGTTGCTTTAAGTAAAATGAAAATTTCACTGTAGATTAGACCCAACTTCCAAGGTCAACCAAGAAGGACCAAGCATTGGCCCATCCCATCCCTATTAGCCAGGGATTTTATCTACGAAATTGCAGATGAAAATTGGCTCCTTAATCCACTCCACACAGTTGAGACCCCTGGCCGTTCTAGGTGCTGCGGGTACAGCGGTGAACAAAACAGACACAGATCACTGCCCCCATAATTCACCTGCCGGGGAGGAGCAGACACGAAGACCAGGCAAATAAAGCATGGTATATGTAGAGAGAATATAAAGGCACAGAGGAGGTGAGTGAGATTTGTGCTTTTAAGCAGGTCATGGTAGAAAGACCCAAGACAAAGTTAGGGAGTGAGGGCTGGAGAGATGGCTCAGAGGTTAAGAGCACTGGCTGCTCTTACAGAGGACCCAGGTTCAATTCCCAGCACCCACATGAAGGCTCACAACCATCTATAATGAGATCTGGTGCCCTCTTCTGGCCTGCAGGCAGAACACTGTATACATAATACTAAATAAATCTTAAAAAGGGGGGAAGGGTGGGGGTGGGGCTGGAAAGACAGCTCAGTGGTTAAGAGCACTGGCTGCTCTTACAGCGGACCCAAGTTCAATTCCCAGCACCCACATGAAGGCTCACAACCATCTTTAACTCCAGTCACAGGTAGATGCCCTCCTAGCCTCTGTGGGCTTTGCATGCACGTGGTACAAAGACATACAGTCAGGCACTTCTACACATAAAATAAAAATATATAAAATATCAAAAAAAATTTTTTAAAAAAGCTAGGGATTGAGGGGTCCCCAGAGGGACAGCGAAGGCAAGGCTCTGTAGTCCTGGCCTCTGTGAGAGCTACTTACCGTATGATACAACCATCACACATGAAGGACCCCACTCTGCGGCCATGTGAAAGTGAAAACAGACTTTGGGGGAGGGCAAAGCAGAACACTTGTACTACACAGGCAGGGGATGGGTTTTGACATGCAGCACCGTAGTTAATGAAAATTTCTGGGACCTGGGTCCATGGGAAGTTCGCAGGTGGGAGTCGGGTGTGGGAACACACAGTGGGATTCTGTCAGCCATGGGACAAGACCGAGACACGAGTGTGGGCCAAGGGAAGTGTGTGCCTCATCAACTCTGTAATCCTCCAAAGAGCTTTTCACCAAGTAGAAACCATCCAAAATTGTCTTGAAAGAATAGCCACTAAGATACCAACAGAACCAAAAGTTGGTCTTGTTTTGAGAGGTCTTGTGTAGTCCAGGCTAACCTTGAACTCACTATGTAGCCAAGGATGACCTTAAACTCCTGATCCATCTCCTAAATGCTGGGGTCACAGGCGTGCACCCCTACACCCAACCAGAACTAAAGGCATTTTCTGAAGATGTGATCAGCAGGAATAGATGTATTTTGGAGCCTTGGCTTCTAGTTATGCTAATTGTTATTGCCTGGTAAAGGGCATGTGTAGGTGGCACCTTGGCTTTCATATATAACTCTTGTAGTGTTCAATTATTATTACCCTGCACTGACTTCATAACAAAACAGAAAGGATCATTTTTAAGGTGGTTTATATTCCTCTATGGAAACATGACCACGATATTAAAATAACTCAAGCTGCTTGATGATGTGCACAACATCATTCTTTGCTTGTAGATGTATGTGTGAATGAGACCATGTATGTGTACAAAGGAAGTGATCTTGAAAGATAGGAACTAAATGGTGGTAATTAAAAGAAAGTGAGAGTAGAAACCATGGGGGAGCCTGGGCATTTCGTAGGTAACTCTTCTGTAGCCGGGCTGCTTTTCTGTGTGCGTAAAGTGAAAGCGTTTCCCTGTACATCGCTTCAGGGCACAATTAAACTTCTGCACATGTGACAACAGGAAAAGAGCCCCTTTGGGACCCTCTCCACCCTTGTTCCTGCTAGAAATAACAGGCCCGTATACTGAGTTCTATCTAAGGTGCTAATTTTTTTAATAGTACTGTCAAAGATTAAAATCTTCTTAAGTTAAATGAGCCCTATAAGAATACGGAATGAAATCACGGCATCCAGGAAAGAACCCTGAGGTGCTGAGAGAAGTGAGGAGTCTCAGGCAACGCAAGGAGAATTCAGATGCAGAACTCACATTGCCCTCTTAGAGGCCAAACTGGTGGGTGCCCTGGAGGGCAATAAAACCGGAGCCTTTGGGGTTATCTTGCCTACCAGATGATTCATTTGCATGCCCTCTGGACAAAACCGGACAAGTTCATGTAACCTCGGGCCCTCAATCACCAGAACGCAACCGTCCTTGGGTGGGTGTGTTTGGCGGGGATGCCTGTGATTCTGGAAGAGCACACACTCGTCTGGTTCACTCTTTCTAAGTGTTGGATGCCTTTGCTTAACATAAGACACAAATCTACATATTGGCAGCCGTGGCTTTCAAGTCTCCAAGTGGAGTTTGCTCTTAATATTAATCTGCTTTTCACCATCTCCTGTGTCTGTTTTCAATCAGGAGTGAAAATGAGCCACAAGCAATTCCAGCGATGCAATAACGCTCTGTTATAAAAGGCAAAAAAAAATCAATGTAACATTGTTTGGATACTCACCTTGATGGGTGCTAAAACATTTTATAAGCAATTTATTTTTTTTAATTGGGACCAAAAAAAAACTACATATCTACTTTGAGCCGATGCCAGCTGGAGAACAAAAATCAATTGCTACTAACTGTAGTTCCAGATGTCTGTATGGACTTGGGAAGTTCCCGTCTTGGCCTCAGCTTCTTCCTCTGTGGAAACCAAGATGGCGTCCACCCCTTGGGTGGTACGCGTGCACACTGGCATCACTAACACAGGACACAAGTGTTCTCTCTGTTTATTGTCATCTGTATATTCCCCGGCCCGACTTTCTGGTTTCTCACTTCTAGGTCTCCATCATTTGTCTTTTGTCCTTGCTTTTGTGATTTTTATGTTCCTATCATTTTAAAAAGCATGCGCTGTTGTTTAATGGTACCAAGGAAAACCTTACACAGGAAAAAAACAAAAAACCTGTATTTATCATCCTCCTTTCTTCTTCATGGAGAGAAGAGTCTTTTGAGGTCCCCTAACACTGGCTGAGAAATGTTGTAAACCTCCTTCCTCTTTCTGCTCTGCTGCCATGTCAAACTGGAATGCTATTTCCCTGATTAATTGGCACATTGTTTTAGAAATCTAGAAAAACACTAAAAGCGAAATCTAAATAAACATTAAAACGGTACGAGGCGCACAGAGCAGCAGTTCAAAGTCCTGTTCACGGGGTTCTCACATCACATATCTCAACAGTTGATTGAGTTTTATTATTGTAAATGTATAGGGGCCTTGTCTGCATGTATGTCTGTGCACCACATGCATGAAGAGCCAGAGGATACCAGAAGGTGGCATTGGATCCCCTGGAACAATTGGAGTTATAGATGATTGTGAGCCACCATGTGGATTCTAGGAATTAAACCAGGGTCCTCTGGAAGAGCATCCAGTGCTCTTAGCATCTAAGGCATCACTCCAGTCCCAACAATTAATTTTTCAAAACAATCACTTGCTAACTTAAACAATCCAAGTAAATCTAACATTTAACATTATTGTTCCAAGCAGGTAGAACCCATTTCCTCTACTAAGGTTTCTAGCCAGAGACTATTAGAAAGGTTTAAACCGTGTGGGACATTTAGGGAAAGCCAAGAGGGGCAGCACCTTTGATCTGTCTTATGCATGTGCTGTCTGAAGCATGCTCGTAGTTAGTCTTTAATTCAACTAAAGGTGTTTTCCTGCATTGACAAAGTATTCTTCAAAGACAAGACCATGAGATACCCCTACCCCAAAGCCTGAAAATAGGTTTCTAAAAACTAGTGTTGAAACTCTGAATGTAATCACAACCTCCTAACTATAACTTCAAATGGACTGGTTGAATATGTAAATTATATCCCAATAAAACTGTTTCATAATACTTCAGGGAAAAAGTAAACATTGATTCTATACGTTTATTGCCAACTGATTGTTTACACTGTTACAGACACTTGTTGTCACTGATTTATTTTTCTATTTGTGAAAGTAAGTAAGCGGGGAAAGGTGGTGTACACCTTTAGTCCCAGCATTTGGGAGACAGAAGCAGGCAGATCTCTGAGTTTGAGGCCAGCCTGCTCTACAAAGCAATATAAATAGGAACTGGTTTGCCCTGAGTGGCAGGAATAAAATGTAGCATGCCCACTGAAAGATTTATGACCTCCAAAACGGCATACCGCTAACCCTATAGGGTAGAGATGCCATCGAGTGTCGGAGGACCCAGGAATGCCACAGGAAAAGCAATCAGATCACGCTTGAGGATGGAGGGCTGACTAGGAAATCTAGCTTGCTCACCCACTGGTGTTTGCTGCTGTCAAATCAGTCCAGGGACTTCCTTCAGTTCCAACCTTGGAAGAGAAAAACAACTCAAGCAGTGTTACAAATAATTTTCTAAACTCGAGAAAGCAATTTAAATGCATTTACACCACTTTACTATCCTTTGTGAAACAATTTGTATAATGAACTGCAAGTTTTGTTTTGTTTTGTTTTGTTTTTGCAGAGGGGCGATGCCAAGGTAACTGAGTTTGGGCACTTTTCTAGCAGCTATGAGATGCGGGGCAATTGGAACAGTCATGAGGATAAACAACATTTAAATACCCAAGGTATCCATCAGCCAGTGAGAAACAGGCCCCGGCTGTAAGAAGCCTAGTTTTGGAGAAGATGGAACACAGTAAACGTACTAGTTAGTTATGTCCAGTAAAAGACGAGGGAAACTACGTGTCGGCGAGGGTTGATCCTAAGCGTCAGTGATTTTGTTTTTCTGAGAAATGTAGAAACTTTGAGTAATAAAATCTAGCAAAGCAAATGAAAATGTTTTAACAAGTTTTCTTTTTCATACTACATCTGACTCCAGTTGTGAGTAGAAAAGAGAGAGTAGGAGCCAAGAGAAAATAAAATTGTTTAAGTATTACTTGATTCTCTGGGTGGAAATGTGTTTAGCTCTCCCAAGGTCAGGACAGCGTGGGCTTTTGTTTTTTGTTGTTTTTTGTTTTCTTACAAACGGGCTTTTTTTTTTTTAAGGGAGCTTTCTGTTTTCATGCAACATTATAAATTCTAGTAATGCCCTTCCCAACAGAGATAGATCATTTGGAAGACGTGAGCAATTAAGAAAATGGAGCAGCTTTTCATTTCTGGCCATCGAACCTGATTTCCTCTTCATAGGCATTCACCTGCAGCACAAATGCTCCATAAATTTTGCCAGATATTATTTCCGAATTACCAACAGGGCAATTACTTTCTCTGCTTCATGAGATCACTTCAAAAAAGAAAGAAAGAAAGAAAGAAAGAAAGAAAGAAAGAAAGAAAGAAAGAAAGAAAGAAAGAAAGAAAGAAAGAAAGAGAAAAGATAAATAAAGTTAAGGGTGTGATAGTCATGGCATCCGAAGCCACGGGAGTTCTGCAGCGAGGGCTCCGGGTGCCAGGCAAATGTGCTTCGTCTCTCTCCCGTGGGGGCAATTTCCATCCAGAACAGCGTTCCCACAGCAGCAATAAAACCAGTTTGGGAGACCTCAGAGTTGAGGGTCTGTATCTCGGGATGCCAAACCACAACAATAAAAACAAAATTGTTGATGGGACGCGCTGGCTTTGGCTTGCTTCCTCCGAGTTCTTCCCAGTTTGTGAGAGCCCTGATGGTCGTCGGCAGAACCCAAAACGGAATTTTTAAGCTTTGCATTAATATGTGTTTTTACTTGGCCAGCTCCCTCTCTACCCCACACCATTTCATAAAGAGTCTGAGCAGTCTTTGAGAACTACTGATAGTGTCCATCATCACAGACATGGAGACAGAAGCTGTCTTCAATCCTCAAGCCCTAGCCCATCTCTCTAATGATTTCTAGACAAACATCAAGTGTAAGATGAAATGTTTCCCACTGCTCTCCCATAAGATGGGCACATATTTTTAAGCCCAGGAGTCCTGTCTCTCAGTCAATTACCAAATGAAAAGTGAGTTCTCAAAGAGCTGTGGGGAGAAAATGAATGAGGAGGGGACGACCCCAGAGGAAAAGACTCAGATACTGAGACATGAGAACATGACGCAATTATCCAAAGTCACAGGAGAAATGTGAACATGGCCTGAATATGGAGCATATTATAGTATTATTTTTACTAGGTGTTACAGTGGCATGTGCCTGTGGAGAACTGTATTTAGGAAGATGCAGGAGGAACCTGTTTATGGGTGAAGTACTGTGACATCAGTATTTTATTCTCAAGTGGGTCAGCAAAAAAATCCGTCTGGGTTTTGTCTTATTTTGTTGGGTTTTGTTTGAGGGTCTCTATAGCCTAGGCTGGCATCGAACTCACAGCAATCCTCCTGCCTCAGACTTTGAAGTGGACGGTTTTGGTTTTAAGAATACAGAAAAAGCAAATGTGATATGTTCACTGGTGAACATATGTGAGGGAGTTTATGTCTGGATTGTATTTTACCAGCAACCTTTCTATGGGTGGGGGGGAAATTAAAATTCAGAAATAAAAATATGTAGTAAAAATAAAACCTTTACTAAAAATCATACATACCAATTTAAATATTTTGTTATAATAATGTACATTGATATTATCTATTTATTCTATTAAAAGATCCATCCAACATGGTCTCTCTTGAAATGAGTAACTTTGATTCAACATACTATTTTACTTTCACTTCTAAAATGCAGTCTCTCACATAATCAAAATAATTCCGTGTGTATCTTAGAGCTAATCAGACATAGGTTTAAGGACCCTGAGTTAAAATTTCAAGAACTTAAGTTTCAGTAACTTTTCTCAGCATTTCTTCTTTGTTTTTCTTCTTTGTCTAAAATGGTCTGTTTTAAGCTCAAAACAGCATCTTGAAATGCAGGATTTAGGTCTAATGCCTTCTTGAAGTCTTCCAAAGCTTCATCAAAATACCCTATAGCAGAGTCCCAGAGATGAAAAGAAAAGAAGAAAAAAAAAAAGTTGAGTATTTTCACAACTGCACTGTGAAGTTTGGATATACACAGTTTCACATTTACGAGCTTTCAAAAATGCCTCTAAAAGGAAGCTGCCTCTCTCAGTGATCTAAGATGCTCTGTCAAAATAATGTGTGCCCTTATGGAGCAAGCGACTCTAAAATCAGTGATGGAAGACAGGGAATGATGTTCAGCAACATTAGCACTTATCTACCAAACATGAGGCCCTGGGTTCAATCTCCAACAACACAAAACACAAAAAACAAAGAAAATTAGTGATGCTTTGTATCCAATTTAATAGGTGGGGAGCATATAAATTTCAACAAAACTGTATCAACCATTTTACAAAGCTGCAGTGAAACTGAGAAATAGATTTTTTTTTTCTTTTTATTTTCAATGGGAAACAGTATCCAAAGCCTCTTTAATCCAGGCTTCTAAAAACTTCACTTTGGACTGTCCCCTGCCTTTTCAACTAGAAAGTGTCACAGGCGCCAGTCAGTACTACCCTCATCGAGAGGACAGAGTAATGGGGTCACCCTTGCTCCTGCGTCCAGGTCCCATTCTCAGAGCATGCCTAGGAAATGCCTTTTAAACCTAAATTTCACCTAACTGTCAAACTTGATTCCTTCACAACAGTTGATCACTCTGAAGCAACAGAATACATTCCACGAGAAAAGCAAAAACACCAGAGAAAAACAAAACCTTACCCAGCCTGTAGCGGATCAAGCCTCTGTTGTAATACGGAACTTCAAAGTTGGGCAGGATTTCTATAGCAGACGTGTAGTCGTCCATGGCTTCATAAAACTCAACGCTGAAGTACTTGGTTTGCCCCCTGTTGTTATATGCGGTCGCCAAATCCTCGGGGCTGCATTTGCTTTAAACAGAAAGTCCACATTAAAAGCACATTGTAAAACTCCCTCACTTCTACTGCCCCGCTCTTTGGGGTACTGTCAGATTCCATAGCCTCCAACACGCTGTGTGGAAGCTGAAACGCCAAGTGGAAGAAGCAAAATGTGCTTGAGAACCTGAAATCAATTTCTGTTTAGGGCCATCGGCGACTTTCGTGGGGCTACCGCACAACGTGGATCTGAAGTCCGTGGATTTTAGAGTCTTCAGAGCCCCTGGTCAAGGAAAGCCCGCCCAGGTACCAGTGTGCCACCAAAGTGTCACAGCCACTTTTAATTCACTCTAAAATGTCAGTGGTCTTCAAACAATGAGATCTGAAGTCAAGAAACACTGGTTAAACAGTGGTTAACCATCGGCAGAATATTCCACAGCTCTGCCCTTCCTGTGAGAGTTCAAGACACCAGCAGTTGGGAGCGGCCTGGAGGTCAAAGCCTCCCCCACTACCAACAACAAATTCTCTTCACTGCTCCGAGCCAGGGGTATTTCTGACTTTCTGTCTTCCTTCCTTCCTTCCTTCCTTCCTTCCTTCCTTCCTTCCTTCCTTCCTTCCTTCCTTCCTTCCTTTTTCCCCAAAGTGATTGTCAAATTTGCACTAAACAGAAGAACTACATGTTCAAGTCCTCTTCTGTTATACCCAATGGTACAGAGCATAGTCCTCAGAAAATATTGGTAACAGCAGTCACCTATTTTTTTCTAAAAAAAAAGAAAAATGTGTGTGTGTGTGTGTGTGTGTGTGTGTGTGTGTGTGTGTAAGAGAGAGCACACATGCCACAGCAGGCACGTGGAGGTAAATAAAAACTCCGTGATTTCAGTACTTGCTTTCCACCTTTACTTGGGCTCCAGGAATCGAACTCAGCTGCCGGGCTGGCCCATCTGCTGTTTCTCCTGACATTAATCCTTGAGAACTCAGACAGGGACTGTGACTGCTGCTGCACACAGGGGTCTTTCAGTTTATTGGATGGTGGGGAGTGGGGTGGGTCATTGTTTTGGGGTTTTTTTTGTTTTGTTTTGTTTTTTGCCTGGGACTCACTATGTTGAGCTGGTTGGCCTCTGGCTCCCGAGTGCTCGGATCAAAGCATGCATTACCACACCCACATGGTCCTGCAGTTTAAACTTTGTAATAGTGGGGAGAAACTGTTGTAACTTAGAAATTTTCGTTTTGTCAGCTCTGACTGAGTAAGACGGACACAAGGACATCTCTTAAGGCCGCTAAGACCACCATTAAAGGCCAAAGAACAGAAAGATGCATGTCTTCTCTCTGTTATGACACTAGCTGAACTGCTGACCCCAGACTTCAAGAAAGAAAATCTACCTCAGTAAAATTTTCTTTATTCATTTGAGGTTTCAAAGCTTTGTTATCAAGTCTTATCCTCAGATAATCATAGAATATTAGATTTCATTAAGGCAAGTTCTAAATCCTACTTTTCATGCAAGCAGACATTTTGTTTGCAATCTTAAAGACATGGGCAGGGGCTAGAGATATGGCTCAACAGTTAAAAGCACTTGTTGCTCTTCCAGAAGACCCAGGTTCAATTCCTAGCATTCACACGGCGGTCCACAACCATCTGAACTCCAGTACCAGAAAAATCTAACGACCTCTCCTGGCCTCTATGGGTATAGCATGTACTTGGTACACAGACACACATGTAGGCAAAACACCTATACAGATTCATAAGAAGTCTATTTTTAAAAAAGAGAGAAATGGGCTAATACCGAACATTGACTTTCATTGTTATAATACTGATTTTTTTAAAGATAGTATTTCTTTTTGTATGTGGGAATGGTAGGACACATGCCACCATGTGTCTGTGGGGGCCAGAGGACAGTTCTGAAGAGTGGTTCTCTCCTTCCAGCCTCACATACAATCCAGGGTTTGAACTCGGGTCATTAGGCTTGTATGGCAAGACCTTTACCCACTTCAACCCACAATAATATTTTCTGTACTGCATTTAACCAAGTTACCTAATCTGAATATGGAATTTTAGCATCTGCTAACTTCTGACAAGATAAATATTTGAAAAATTAAATTATGGCTAAAACTGTCCTTGGATATTTGAAAAAAATGACAAATCCTAGTGAAAAGCAATCAAGGGTTGCAAGCACCATTTCAAAATGATTCAGCCACTCGATGTTTTAAAAAAACAAGTTTAAATTTCCAAAGATATATTTAAGGGGGAAAGCTGAACTGATAGACTTCAAGTTCTGAACTCTAAGGAAACTGAAGGCTCATTTGACAGATGAGAAACTGGCCAGGGGAAAGGCGCCAGCGAGACAGTGACGCTGAGACCAGAACGTGAGCATGCTGAACTCTTACAGCTAAGCCGGGCAGGTTTTTCCAGCCCGTACAGGATGGAGATCGGCTTGCTGTGGTGGACCGAGGTTCTTGGGCTGAGATGTGCAAAGGAGGAGAATTAACACACCCAAGTAGCGTCCACACGCCTGCTGCTGATCGTTTCTGAAACTTCCTGGGCAAGCCCATTCCAGCCTTAAACAAGGGGAGAAACGGTGTTTGCTAGCTTTGTTTATCGGTGTTTGCTAGCTTTGTTTATCGGGAGTGGTGGGGGAGGTGAGAGGGGAGTGGGAACATCATTTTAGCATCTCTGCTAATTTCTATTAACAAAGTGTCAGTGGAAGGGTCCGCCTACATCAATGCCCCTCTCCCACCGCCAAGGCCCAGGGGATGGGGAACAGAGGTCAGAAAACCTGCAAGAGCCTGGGGATGAGAAACAGTGAAACAGTGAAACGGTGGTTTCTGGGCACTGCGGGACCACTGCATTCGTGACTCAGGACAGCTGCAGTTGTCTGCACACGATAGAGCCAGTTAACACTCCAGCACTGATGTGGGGGGGGGGGGGGTGCTCAGAGTCCCAACCCCAGAGGAGCTACAGACAGTTAAGGGAATCTGAGGGAGGGCAGGAGGGCAGTTTTCTTTAAGGGTATAGCCCCGGGTAGGTCAACCTAACTCCTGGAGAAAATGGGCAGCACAAAATGGGACTTGGTGATTACCAAAAAAAAAAAAAAAAAGGCTGAAGAAGTGAGAGGAGAGCTGAGTGGAGTTAAGATGAATAGTGGGGAGTGAGTGAAGATTATCAACATACACTGTATGAAATTCTCAAAGCACTAATAAAAACACTGGATTTTTTAATAAAGAAATTTCTGTTAACTATCATGTTAATGTAGTGTTAAAATGAGAAAACAATTTTGGCTCTCTGACTTAATTCCACTTGAGTCTTACAAACAAGTAGGAATGCAGCCTTCAGTATTAGATCTCATACAAAAGACAAGTTTGCATTCCATTAAAAAAAAAAAAAAAAAAAACTTCTAGGACGAGCCAGGCATAGTGGCTTTGGGAGGCAGAGGCAGGTGGATCTCTGAATTCAAGGCCAGCCTGGTGTGCCAAGGGAGTTGCAGGACAGCCAGGACTGCGTGGGGAAACCATGTCTCAAAAACAAAACTTCCAAGGGAGAGAAGGGTAATGTTGCAGGTCACACAAGCGTTGAGAAATTTCTCTGTGTTCGCTCCACGCCATCCACAAGCGCAGCAATGTAACTAATGCTACATACCCAGGCGTCAACTGAGAAGTTAACGAGCCTGCTAATATCACAAAGAGTAAAACCAGGCTTCAAGTGCTCACAGTGGAAGTGTGAACCTGCAGACAGAAAAGTTCTCCTTTCTGAGTTGGATCAAGTCTCCAGATTTAACGACCAGTTCACAATCAGTACCGAGAGACTGGGAGCTGAGACTTCCCTGACAGGTAGACGGATCAGGACAGGAGCCAGGACAAGCTGGCCGGCTTCTTCCTCACCCTGCAGACCTGAGACAAAAACCTGGCAGCCTAAAAAGGAGACCTGGAGGGGCTTTTCTCCCACCAGGAGGGCCCCCTGCTGACGGATCTGCTCTTCCCCACACACACAAGTTCAAAGCTGGATCAGGACATGTTTAGGCCGAAGTTGAGGATCCTTCAGCCACCCTGTGTTCAAACTGACCAACCCTCAGCCCCTTAACACCCCCCAGGAGACTGGATTTGGGGGTTCCTGAAATCCCCCTCCGCTCTGCCTGCTGCATGTCTCCCCACCCCTGGAAAACCCTTCCTTCCTCGTTATAATGCTGTCGTTAGCTGTCATTTCACTCATTAGCTGTTGTTGAGGTTTTCACTGCTGCTACCTGCCCTGGCTTGAGATTTTTTTTAACTGCCTTTTAATTCTTTAACTGGCAGAGAACGGGAACCCAATCGAGACCCCCTAGATGTCGAAATCTTAGTAGACGGACAATCACAGGCATCTGGCTCAATTCGGCAGCTCCAAAATGCGTTCACTTGAAACCCGGCCCCGTTTTCTCAAGACCTAAAAGCGGGGTGGGCTTCAGAGCGGGGGTCAGGGGTGCAGCTTGATAAGCTCCTCCGACCCCAACATCCAAGCAACAACGAGCTTTATTGGCCCGTAAAAGCGCCATCGGCGGCTGGATTCTCGCTAGAGAGGGAGCTCGCGGTGTCCGGGGACGTCGTCGTCGTCTTCTTCTTAAGAATCCCCAGCTTCTGAACCCGAACCTTCGCACCGCCCTCGCCGGGGTGCCGAGGACGGCAGGAGCCGGGCAGCCCGGGCACTCGGAGGACCGCGTCCGTCCCTACGGCGACCACCATCCCCCCCCCCCCCCCCCCCCCCCCCCCCCCCGCCCCCCCCCCCCCCCCCCCCCCCCGACGCCATCCCCGTCTCGCGAGACTTACCCCCCGCGACTCCCGCACTGCCCGATGAAGGCGGAGTAGAGCGCCTGCGCCTCGGCAAAGTCGCCCCTGGCGAAGCGAGCCTGGGCCAGCGCCAGGGCGGCCGGCCCCTCTCGGCTCTCCTCTCGGCCCCGCGGCCCGGCCATGACCGCCTCGCTCCGGGGGAAGCGGAACTACAGCCGCCCGCCCGCCCGCCCGCCCGCGCCCGTCCGCACACGGGGACTTCGTTGGCTGACGGGAGCGAGCCGCTCGCTCCAGGATGAGGAAGTTTGTCCTGTGTGGGGACCGGTAGTATCGCGAGATAGACTGGTAGCGCCTGGCGGAGCTGGCGGGAAATGGAGAGAATTAAAATTTTTTGTGATGTGTGCATGCATGCATACATACATACATACATACACACATACACATAAACACACATACATGCAAACATACATACATGCATGCATACAAACATACATACATATGATAGAGGTGGATGGATGGACGGACAGACAGACAGATGATGAGAGAGATGATAGATAATAGAGATGAGAGCTATAACAGATGATAGAGATTAGATAGATAAATAATGATAGATAGATAGATAGATAGATAGATAGATAGATAGATAGATAGATAGATAGATAGATAGATAGATAGATAGATAGATAGAATATTTATTTGAGGAGCCTGATGCAGAGATCGGGAGAAGACTGGCCTTAAGTCAATTTCTTTTGTTTTAAGAGAGGGTCTTGTGTTTTTCAAAGAAGCACTTAAGATACGGTGCTTATGTGCTGATTCCGGGTGAATTAAAAGCTAGATATTTAGAACATTAAGTTCCAAAGATAAAAAGAATGTAGTTATCTAAATAGAGCAGAGTTCCCAATGCACAAAAAAAGGAGTGCTCCAGTTTGCATGTATTCCCCCCAACTCGTGAGTGGGAATCTTAATGCAGCAGTGTGTTGAGGTGGGACCTAACGCAGGTGGACTCCACCCTCACCAATGGAGGGGTGCTACTCAGTTAAAAGGCAGACTGCTGCACACCTGTTCTTTGTGTGTCTTTTGCCATGCTGTGGTGAGGCAAGAAGGCCTGTACATACGTGGACTTCCCAGCCCCCAAACTGAGTCGAATGAATTTATTTACAAGTGACCCCCGACTAGCACGGTTACAGTGATACAAAATAAATAATACGAGGCATTTGGTAGAATTAGCTATAAAAATAAAGGTCAGAGAAGAAAGACATCAACTTGGAGAGTAATTGTCATCTTTAACATCGAACTTCCTGCTGAAAGAGTATATATTAAGTCTACAGTGTGGCACACACACATTTTAAAACTGGGATTAATACAATGAACAAAGCTTTTTGTCCTCAGTACCTTGCAGCTCAGCAGGAAAACAAAGTCGTTTTGGTTTTTTGGGTTTTTTCGTTCTTGTTTGGTTTTGGTTATTTTCGAGACAGGGTTTCTCTGTGTAGCTTTGTGCCTTTCCTGGAACTCGTTTTGTAGACCAGGCTGGCCTCGAACTCACAAAGATCTGCCTGTCTCTGCCTCCCGAGTGCTGGGATTAAAGGTATGCGCCACCACTGCCCGGCTTTGTTTTTGTTTTGTTTTGTTTTTTTTTTTCTGTTTGTGTATTTGTTTTGGTTTGGGGTTTTGGTTTTGGTTTTGGTTTTGGTTGGGTGCTGTGGGGTGTCCTGTATGCTGTGAATATATGTTGCTATGATTGATTGATAAATAAAACGTTGACTGGCCAGTAGCCAGGCAGGAAGGGTAGTGCAGGCGGGACAAGGAGAGAGGAGAATGCTGAGTGGAAGAAGGTTGAGTCAGGAGACGCTGCCAGCCACCATGATGAGAAGCAGATGTTAAGATACTAGTAAACCACGAGCCACATGGCAAATTATAGATTAATAGAAATGAGTTAATTTAAGATATAAGGACAGCTAGCAAGAAGCCTGAGCCATTAGGCCATACAGTTTATAAATAATATAAGTCTTTGAGTGTTTACTTGGGTCTGAGGGCCACGGGAGCCAGGCAGGAACAGGATAACTACAGCGACAGTTGTTTTTGTTTTGTTTTTTTGTTTTGTTTGTTTCCAAGACAGGGTTTCTCTGTGTAGCCCTGCCTGTCGTGGAACTCACTCTAGACCAGGCAAGCCTTGAACTCAGAGACCTGCCTTCACCTGCCTCCCCAGTGCTGAGATTAAAAGCATATGCCACCATGGCCTAGCAACAAAGTCTTTTTAAATTAATGGATAGTATCATGTAGAGAAGGAGAACAGTATTTTTTTTTATAAAGGATGGATGTGAAAGTAAATGGAAACCAATGCTGAATCAAGAACTAAGAAATGCCAACAGACCTCTAACTGGGAAAGAGGCTGATATTTTAGATCTGATGGCTATCCCAGTGATTATAAGCATTTAACAACAGCCCTTAAACTCTGCAAACAGGAAGGAACACATCTTACATTATTCTGTAAAGCAAATATTGCTGATGTCAATGCTTGCCAGACACTAGAGCAGTGATTCTCATCCTTCCTAATGCTGTGACCCTTTAATACAGTTCCTAATGTTGTGGTGACCCCCAAACCATAAAATTATTTTCATTGCTGCTTCATAACTGTAATTTTGCTACTGTTATGAATCATAATGTAAATATCTGACATGCAGGATGGTCTTAGATGACTCCTATGAAAGAATCATTCAACCCAAAGGGGTTGCGACCCACATGTTGAGAACCACTTCACTAGAAGAAAACTACAGACCAATCAATAACCATTGTGATTGGCATTTATGTGAAACTTGGCATTTTGGTTGTGGCCTATCCTTTAGTGGCTGAACCATCTCTGCAGCCTACATTAATAGAAAACTTAACAAAAGACTACCATATCAAATGCAGCAGCAATTGAAAGAATTATGCACTGTAACCAAATGGGAATTACTCCTGAAGTGCAAGGATAACTCAACACATGAAAATTAATCAGTGTAACATACCACATGAGCAGAATGAAAAGGGAGAAACTGTGTGGTCTTCTCAATTCACATAGAAAAGCACTTGAAAAATTAAAACCCTTTTTATCAGCAACTGTTATTAGTGTGACCATACAGGCATTCTTGACCTTACCATTCACATGACACATCTTTTTTCATCCTTTTAACTATTGCTTTTATTTTTTAATGTGTCTATACAGGTCTGTGTGCATGCAAATGTCTGTGTGTGTCTTTTTTCACACGTGTGTGAACATGTTTGTGGGTATGAGACCAAAGGTAGAGGAGTATCTTCCTCGGCCGCTCTGCACTTTATTGAGATGGTCTCATGCTGAACCCCAGTTCGTGCTAACCATTCTGCTAGTCCAGCTAGCCAGCCTGCCCAGGAGATGCCAGCTGAACCTCCCAGCTGCTGGGGTTACAGGCAGGCTGCCATCGCCTGTGTTCATGTGGGTGCCCGAATTCCATCTTCCCAGGCCCAGATTTCTTGAAATTTTATTAACCAGAAATGTAATGTGTACCATATCAGAAAGTGCTTAAATAAGCTTAATCTTATGATGTACTTTTAATTTGAGAGAAAAGAGCAAACAGTTCTTGGGGAGACACTTGTCTGTGATACACTCATTTCTTCAGCTTCACTTCTTCTGAAATTCATCTCAAGTGTAAATGAACACTTTTCAAAAAGGTTAAGGCTACTTTTATTTTCTCATCTATATTCTCACATATTTCTGAAAATTAATACTATGAACATGTGACTTTTATAGTTAAAATACTTTTTTAAAAAGGTTGAGAAAATAATGACAGAAATAGACAGCAGAGGGCAACATAATATTGCTGTTTTCATTTTGGATACCCAGGATGAGCGTTTGGAGCTACATCAACAAAGTTAATACTCTGTTACTTTGTAATGATTTTTTTCCCTTGTTTCTAATGTGAACTTCGTGTGGTCTCTGAGGGAACAATTCTCACAATTCTCTGCCATGTGCATAAAAAGACTGTTCGGTTTTTCTCTGTGTGATAACAATGTGACATGTGTGGTGTGGTGTGGTGTGGTGTGGTGTGGTGTGGTGTGGTGTGGTGTGGTGTGGTGTGGTGTGGTGTGGTGTGGTGTATGTGTGTGTGTGTGTGTGTGTCTGTCTGTCTGTCTGTCTGTTTGTCTGTCTGTCTCACCAAAATAGCTCAACAAAGACCACAAGTAACATGGGATAAACATGTTATTTTTTTCTTCATAATTTATTGTTTTCATGTTTATTTCAAATAAAATCTCATCAAAACCTAAGATCTGAACTCTGGAAATACAGAAGGTGATTTTTAAAGTATATTTTAGCAAACTATAGTGACCTTGGTGTCATGGATGACAGCAGGTCCACAATGCTTGCTCGGGCTCACTGCTTACCCACACAGCCTTACCTGTTGATTCCACACGTCAGCACCTAGGCCTTCGGAGTTCTTGGAACCATAGCGTAATTGGGGATAAGTTTGATGGGAAGGAACAACAGCATTACTCAGAATCAGTTCATTCATGTTTATTACAAGAAAAGTGGGTCCCAAATGCCTCCTCGTGAATGAGGATAAAATATTTTTTAAAACTTCAAATAATAAAAAGTCTTAAAATGCCATCTCCTCAGTTATGAAAATAAACTATAGAAGACTTTAATCCTTAAATAGAAATAGAGTTCATTCCATACAACAGTTGCTTCACCCCCAGAAATACAGGCTATATCGACTCTCTACCCCAGGTTTGCCCCTCCCCTGCCTCCTCCATGTCCACCTGCTTCTCAAGGGGTCTCTAATGAACTAGTAAAACCTTGAGAATATGAGAAAAAATGCCCTGGTGGAGGTATTTCTGTGGTAACTCACCACAGACTATAAGCTACATAAATGATAAATGGACAGACAGGAAATACAGAGAAATTAAGTTCACATCTGTAAGTCTTATGTGAAAAGTCCTCAAGTGATCTCCTCATTGCACTGTGATGCACGAACTATCTTTTTTTTTTTTTCCCAGTACTGACAGTGGACCCAGGGCCTTGTGCATGCTTAGGAAGCACTCTACCACTGAGCTACACTCCAGCCCTCGTTTTGTTTTTAATATATATTTTATACAAAAGTACAGCTACCAGATGATGGAGCTGATTTTCATGTGAAGCCTAAGGAAATCAAGCATTACTCCATAGAGAGGTGCAGGTGAGTACATATGCTTCACATACGTTAGAGTTAAGGTAGTTCTTTCCTTTATTCTA